GTGATGATTTCCACTCCTACCCGCATGCACTGTTCGGTCTGTGCATACAGCTTAGGGATGAAACACCCGACTGCATCATGAAATGTCTTCTTATACATTACACTTAATTCCAATCTTTTTACTCCATTATTCAGTAGTGTTGTAAGTAAGATAAGGGCCCGTGCCCTTCCCAGGTAAACAGTGTGTGCACAACGCCTCCAATGAGTTCGTCCCATCAATTGCTCTTGCACCGCATTCGCACTGCTCCTGTACTTTTTGGTTGTTTGTCACATTTTATTGTTGATTTAATTAAATCCTTGTCCGCAAACTGTATCCGGATAGACACGACATTATGAACTAAACGACTTTCCTAACGAATACCTAACGTAGAAAATACCAAATGACTGACAATTGTCGTATAAAAAAGTACCGCTTAAAAAATTAACAAATACCAAATGATCAACACTTGTCGTATAAGAGAGTACCGCTTAAAATATCGAAAAAAATTATTAAAGGCAATGAAAACAACAAATTTTTTAATATTTAGGAAAATCACTACTTCTAATTTAAAACAGATAACTTCATTTACTGACCCACAACTCTAGAGGGGGTACTTGAGAGGAGCACATCGGGGAAGAAAAGACGAGTGCTGTACGGGCAAAATAACTATAAACGGTAAAACAGAATCAATGGAGCTGCGCACGGCGGAAAGTAAAACTCGCGAAGCCAAAAAAATATACGCAAAGTAAAAAATCAGAAAAATACAGGGCAAAAGATGAGAGCAAGTTCTTGTGTATAGCGAAAAATGTTCGAATTTGCCGGCACAGATTTAGCTGGCCAAAACTTGAGGGAATATTATGACAAAAAAATTTTTTTCAAAAACTTACCAGACCCTGTTGATTTGCAGTGCTCAGAAGCAGAAGGCGTTCACGTTCTGTTTCATCGCTTGTAAACGAAGCCAGAGCTCTCAAAACATGCGACTTAACTGGAGCACAAATGTCCACATAATGCGTAAGCGCAGTCCTCACAGTGCATGGGCATGGAAATGGGTTCTTTTTCAAGCTTTCTTCTGAAAACAAAATACGCACAGAAATTAATGAAACAGTGGGAAAACCCACTTAAAAAACACTGAGAGTAAAATTTTTTGCAAGTTTTCGTAATAAAAAAAACAGGAAACCTATTCATGCCCAAAAACGAAAAGAATTACGCCTATATGCAGACGAAGTGAAATTTACCCGGGTACCCAGGCGATCATTGTGGGGATAAGCCTATTTTCAGTAATAAAGTGAGCAAAATGACTAATTTTACCGCTTGAGTTACAGAAAACACGGTGATTCTAATTCTTCCTTTAAGCAGTACGAAGAAAGAAGGCAGTAAATGTTAGCATTATACGATGTAACTTCGAAAATCCATTGAAATCCACTTGCAGAACGATGTAGCATCGAAAATCCATTGAAAAAAAAGATATTCCGGCACCTTGACAACGGAAAGATTTGATTTTTTTTCAATGAAACAAGAGGTAATGGAAGAAAATAAGAGAAACAGATGAAATACCGTCAAGATTGATGAGGCTAAAAGATAGGTCCATATTCACACCGATCAGCTTGGCCAATTCGTCCACTAAATTTGGATCGTTTGTTGGAAAAACTCCCAAATGATCACCAGTCTCATACCTAAAAAAATTTTTTTACCGAAAAAAAAAACGAACTGCGAGCTTTTTTTTTACCGAAAAAAAGCGAAAAAAAACTTTTTTACCGAAAAACGAAAAAACGAACTGTAACGATGTGGTGCAGTGAAACTGTGCAAACCTTATCCTTGCTGCATTGGTGACGAATTCAATATGACGACAACTGCGTTCGCTTTTCTCGCCGTGAAGCTCACGATTCACACCAACAGTAGCAATGAATGGGTTCTTCTGATCAAAAGGCCTTCAAAATAATAATACTACTCAATTCACGAATGATTTTCTTTTATCCACATTCCAATAAAAATTCTGGAGCAAAAATTTACGGTCTCTGTTTTTCGAATGATCCCAATCGGCCATATTCACCAGTGAACAATTTTGCGCAAGGATCTTCCAGAATTTCAAAACGATACTGCCGAACGGAGCCTGTTTCAGCAATCTCCCAACCATAAACATTTGTCACTACAGGCCAAAAGCCTTCACGCCATCTGAAATATTACCATCAACTTAAGGCTGTCAAATTCAGTCCCCAGGCTTGCGTGGTTCTCAAATACGGCCCCGTGAAATTTTTTTTTTTGGGGGAAGACGGCTAACTCGGAAACCAGGAAAGCTTGGAAGCTGAAATTTTAAGCGGATGTTCAGAAACCATCCAATCTGCATTCTGATATTCAGAGGTGCATGTTTAATTTAAAGTTGAAACCTGCCGCATTCAATTTCTACAGGAAGCGAAGGCTCTCGGAGGAAGGCCGACTGATAGCACATTCCAGCATCAAAAGGCTCCTGATTGCTCACTTTTTCGAGGGCTGCTTAGAAAACAGCTGATGGCGAGCCCGATCTTTGGTAGGTACCAATACAATTCATCGCTGACATAAACAGATGAAAGTGAGTCTCTTGACCACGAGAACGAAAAGACTTGGCACTAAAAAGTGAACCTCATGAAATCTTCCTCCAAATTCCCATCGTCATCACCAAGGCCAAGTTCGTAAATCCGACTG